CCTGGTGGTGCAGCGGTATAAGCACTGGGTTGTTCACTACACGACTGGTGATTCAAACCCACCAGTGGCTCCATGGGAGAAAGAATGATACCGAAGCCTGCTCCCTAAAGAATTCCAGTCTCAGAAACCCTATGGCGCAGTTCTACTCCGTCCTAGAGGATTGTTTTGAGTCAGAATAAAGTCGACAGCACAGTCTGGAGAGTTCTCATTAGGTCACAGAAATGCGTCACTAGGGGCCACCTCTGAGGTCATGGGCAGAGGGTGGGGGGCAGGAGACTTTTATTCTCAGGGTGCCTCTTCTTGTACTTCTGAATGTTTCACCAGGTACTCGCCTTACTGACCTATCAACTCTTCCATAGCCTCATTTAGAGACCCAGAAGCTACTCCACACAACTGCCTACCAATTTCTTCCTCTTCTGAACCATTCTGCCAGAAGAACGCTCCTTATCAACTTTCCTAGTTCTGTGATGATCTTCCTTTCCAAGAATCACACTTCCCACTCCAAGGAAAGCAGCCAAGTAGGTGAATGGGGCTCCCCCTACAGGCAGAGCCGATTTATTGACCAGGCGCACATAAATCAGATTTACTCCCCTGCTTGCCTGACGTCTTCTCACTGTCCTGAAAGCTGCAGGAGTCTTTATGCTCTGGTCAGCACAGGCGTCGGAATCTACACACTGCCAGGAATTTAATGTGAACAAACTAAGTGATTAGGAAGAAAACGATTGCTTCCTCACACACGAGATCTCTTAGCCTCCATGCTGAGAGAGCGCTCATGATCTAGTTCTCTGGTTAGCTGGACATTTGAGGCTCTTCAGTCTAGCCCTGAATAACTCTCCACAACTCTGTCTAACAAGCAAGGCAGTCACACTAACGGCTACTGGTTGTTTTTGAACATGCAATCCTAGTGCTGGTCCATCTGTCTGGGAAAAATGACCCCGTTCATTCTAATTCAAAGGCTATATTGTCATTCTTTTCCTATCCCCAACTTCTATAGCAGTCTGGTCACATGACTGGTCTAGCAGGTCACGGACCCCACTGGATTAGAATTCACTGACTCCTGCGTCTGCTCTCCAGTAGACTACACAGGACTCAAAGCTAGGGAGCACCGTTAGGATGCTGACCAATAGCAAGTGCTCCTTCACTTGTCTTGTGATCATCACCTTCATCTCCTCCCCTCCTTTGTCTGTGTTGGGTGAGGGGAAAACGGAAGTGTGGAAAGGTGGGGTAGGAGGAAGTTACCAGGTCTGAGAATATTATGAAACAATCTTAGTTTATGTCAACACGTATGCTGGGGGTGGTTATTTTGTCTAGAATGAGTAACAGAAAAGAAAGAGGCTAATTGCAAAGGTAGAGGATTTCTTGGCAGCCTGAGGAGGTCTCCCTTTGCTGAGGGAGAGGAAGATCTCCGGGGGGACATTACCTCTGGAAGGCGACATAGACACTTTCTGAGTTTCATGTTAGATCAGGAGAGGTGTGGGAGAGAAGCCTCTCAATGAATAGGAATGTAGAGAGTTCGTTTCAAGTTTGAGAGGTCCCATGGGAGCAACCCTGAGTCCAGATAGAAGCTAGCAAATCGAATCAGCAAGAAAGTAAAGGCAACCTAGCAGAGAGCCGACATGGAAGATCAGGAACAACAGGATGAAGTGTCGATCCATCATGACAACCTAGATGTTACCTAGTGCTATGACTCAGTTGGGTGACCAGGTGCCCCCAGTGGGTGGTGGGGTCCCAACATTACCCTCCACTGAGGCTCCAGATCAGGTGGGTCTGGGGTCCCTTTACTCCCACCCTCTTCCCAGGGTGCCTGTGTGCCACTAGCTTGAAAAGGATCCTCCTTTGAACAATGGTTTCTAGTATCTGCTCTGCTCTGTTAGAACTCTCACCATATTATGGGTTGAGGTGGTGGGACCATAGGAGTCGAGAGTCCGTTCCAAGACTTACTTCAACTTAATCTTCTGTGACAAGGTCTTTAACCTCTCTGGGCCTTCATTTTCCATCCATAAAATGGGGAGATTATCACCACATCAGACATTGAGGCATCTGAGAACAGTGAGTACCAGAAATAGAGGCAATACGGTACTTCTGGCATGAACAGCAATGTTGTTGTTAAGTGCAGTCAAGTCGGTGCTGACTCATAGCAACCTGGTACAGGGTCTCAGAGGAGGAGCAGCTGGTGAGTTTGACCTGCAGACCCTGTGGTTCCAATCGACCTTGCAGACCAGTGCTGACCCTGCAGTGCCACACCAGAACAGCGATCGGATGGGCACCATGTGAGCCACTCTGAGGCTGAGAGTGAGCTTCCACAACTGTGCTCGCACATGGCTGGTGAATAAGTACTGGGGCAAGTGGGGGGGGCATTTTCTGCTAAGCACGGACTCAGGGCAGTTATGTTCAGAATGAGTAGAGTGCTAGCCTGACAGTTTTATTTAAAAAAAAAGAAAAATACCCTGGAATCACAGACTCTGACTTGTCAGCATGTGGATAGTGTCTAAGTGGTTTGGGAACCACTGAGTCAGGAGTTAACCAAAAGGCTGGAAGTCCCTTGTAAGAAAGGACTTACCACCTACTTCTGAAAAATCAGTCATTGCAAACCCTCTGGAGCACACATGGAGTTGCCTTGAGTTGGGATATATTCAAGGGCAATTGTCTGACTTAGACTCAGAAAAGGACCCCAACATGAAGAGAGTAGACCTAAACAACAAAAAGACACAGGTGCCTGAATCGTAGTAGTAAAATCTATATTGAGATTTAAGAACCATCTGAATAACCAGCTGAGAATGCAGCCCTTTGGGATGCTCGGGTTCCAGGTTGTTGTTATTCCAGGTAGACTCACACAAGAGACTCATGTGCCACACCTAGTACTTGACAGAAAATGTCCCCTCCTGCATTAGATGACTCATTTGAAAATGAAGCCTTCCTGTTGAGTACTTAAAAAAAAAAAAAAAAAAAAATCCCCCTTCTCTAGTCCTTTAATTGCATAAAGTAGGCAAGAGAATGAATAAGTCCCTATTAGCAACCCAGTATCAAGCTGGTAAGGAACCTCAGAAAAAGAAATGAATAAGCATCAGCCCTTTTGGTTGCCCTTGGAAACACCAAAACCGGAAGAAAACTGGGCTTGCTGTGATGGCAACTTATTTGATAGCCGTCAGACCACTGAGTTATAAATCTGACAGCACCTGGGCAATGTTCCATTTTCTAAAACCAGAGTTCCTTTTTGTTCTAAAGATGCTATCATGTATATACATCAACAATCGACTGGAACTATCTGAAATAACACTGAAAAAAACTTTCTGTAAAAGGCACTGGGGAAAACAGGAAAAGACACAGTCCTCTGGGATTGATAGAAGACTAAAAAATTGGTAGGTGATTTAGAGCAGGCATGGAGGGTCAAGGAACAATGAAAATGATGGCACAGAAAGGACAACAGACAAGTCCAGAATGTGGACATTCTGCACAGTGATGGTTTCTGCAACAAGTCAGTGGTAGGAAGAGAATGGTAGGGGGTTGCTTTAGATTTAAAGGAGACCTAAGAGATATGTCTGTCAATGAAGGTTTGTGTGTTGTTATGATGCTGAGCAGGTCACCATAAAGCTCCCAGATTAAGACAGATTAGGAGAAAGGCCTGGTGATCAATTTTGGAAAACCAGCCAATGTACCCCACGTGGATCACAGTGGCCTGCTCTGCAAGTGATCATGGGGAAAGCACAGTGTTTCATTCTGCTATATATGGGTCATCAGTAGCCGGGGCTGACTCCATGACAGTTAGCAATGACAAGAAATATGTTTAGCAACCAATTAAATGTTATGTTTGAATCTTGATTTGAACAAACCAACAGAAAAGTATTTTGGAGGCAACTGGGAAAATTTGATAATGGACTAGATTAATAACAAATGCTTATTATCAAGATGTTAGTTTGAGGACTAAGGTGCGCCTGACCCAGTTTCAATCACCTCATATACATGTGAAAGTTGGACAATGAATAAGGAAGACCATAGAAGGATTGATACATTTGAATTATGGTGTTGGCAAAGAATATTGAAAGTACCATGGACTGCCAAAAGAACAAACAAATCTGCTTTGGAGGAAGTATAACCAGAATGTTCCTTAGAGGCAATGATGGACATACTTCGTCTTTCATACTTTGGACATGTTAGCAGGAGGAACCAGCCCCTGGAGAAGGACATCATGCCTGATAAAGTGGAAGGTCGGCACTAGTGAAAGACCCCTAATGAGACTGATTGACAAAGTGGCAGTGACGATGGGCTCAAACATCACAATTGTGAGGATGGCACAGGACCGGGCAGTGTTTCGCTCTGTTGGGCATAGGGTCCCTATGAGTTGGAACTAACTCAATGGCACCTAACTAAGACAACGTTATCAAGAAAGGTTTTCACACTAAAAGAAACATTGTTTGATGTTTCTGGGATGAGAAGCGGAGGGAAATTACTGTCTAGAGGGCATACTGTGTTAACTTGGGTGAAGGGGGGAAAAAGACAGCAAATAAAATTTCTAACATCAAAAATAAATAATAAAAAACAGAGGGAATTGATTTTGCTAGCTGCGCTAATGTGAGAGTGGCTGGCACTGTAAGAAAATGTCCCTATCCTGGAAGAGATGTGTACTGAAGTATACAAGGGTAGATGGACATAGCTGAGCTTCTAAAAAAAAACACTATTTCATGAACGGAGAAAATAGAACAGATGAAGAAAATGTGGCGACATCTGACTAATGATTAAATCTAGGTGGTGGGCTAATGGGGGTTCATTGTACTCTTCTTATCCCTTTTGTGAATGCTTGAAAATTTGTCATAAGAAACATTTTTTTAAAGTGTGTCTCAGAATGAGCAGGTTCTGGAGCATCAATAAGTTAACAAAAATGGGGAGGGTTGAGAGTGGGAGGCTCAGTATCTTTGCAAGGAATATAAAAATAGTGTGCTCTCAGCCTTCAAGGATCTCTGCGGAGGTCGCTCCTTACCCTCTCTGAACAGGAAAAAGAATACCTTTCATCTTGATGGAGAATTCCCCCAGCAGACTCTCCAGCTCCGCTTCAATGCTGCACATGTTCTGGGAAGAGAACAGGAGACTGCGTTAGAGTGTACCCTAATGCACACAGCAGCTCAAAGCCCATGGCATGCCGGTAACTGGGAACAAGCACTGTGTAGAATAACAGACGCAGGTGTGTACCTGTTTTTAGAAGTCACTGAGAACGGCACTGACTCTCAAGTGTAGTTGTTGTTGTTAAGTGCCATCGAGTGGGTCCTGAATCACAGCAACCCTGAATAGGGTTTCTTAGGAGCAGCTGATGGCTTTAAACCACTGACCTTGTGGTTCAAACCGACCTTGCATTATCCTGCAGCGCCACACCAGGGCTATCAAGTATCCCTGAGAAAATGTTGAACCTTTCTCTAAGCAAATCTCTCTCCTAGGACATAGGATATTTAGGACTTAGAGGAACTAGTGAAATTATATTCAGCTGCTGCCAAAATTCTATAAGAACAGGCCTGGACTTTTGGTTAGCAGCTGACCACTTAACCATTGTACCACCAAGACTCCTTATAAAAAGGCAATATTATGAAAAAAAATCTAGATTAAAAAAAGACTAAAGATACATAACAGCAAATGCAGTATGGTAACCCTGACTGTATACTGATTTGAAAGACAAGCAATAAGCCATAGATCAATAAGTAGCTATCTAGTCAACGCCACGTTACGGTGACCTGTGTATTTCAGAGTAAAGTGCTCCATGAGGTTTTCTTGGCTGTCATCTTTATGGAAAAAATGGCCAGGCCTTCCTTTTATAGTGCCACTGGATGGGTTTGAACTGCCAAACTTTAGGTTAGTAGTTGAATGGAAACCATTTGTGCCACCTGGGGACCTTAAATAAGCTAAATCAGTTAGAAAAGACTTTATTGGGCCAAATAGGGGCGATTTGACTATGGTCAGGATACTAGATTATGTTATAGAATTATTGCTAATTCTTAGTTGTGATCATAGTATGTGCCTATGAAAGGGATGCACAGTTTGCATAGGCTGCTGTTACAAGATGAATGCTACAGTATTTGAGATGAATGCTACAGTATTTAGCAAGTGAAGTGTTGTGATGTCTCCGGTCAAATGGCTTAGCCAAAAGAAATGAGAGAAAGGAACAAAAGGAAGGGAGGGAGGGAGGAAGAGAAAGAAAAGCTTTGAACTTTTCTGTAGATTTGAAATTTTTAGTGATGAAAACGTGGGGCCAAAGAGCTTAGGAACTCATTATGCGCTGTTGTTGTAGAGTGCCGTTGAGTCAGTTCTGATTCGTAGTGACCCTGTATAAGGTTTCTCAGAGTGGCTGGTGAGTCTGAACTGCTGACTTTGTGGTTAGCAGTCCAGTACTTATCCTACCATGCCACACCAGGGCTCTAGGGATACTGCTGACCATCTGTGCCTGTGGTTAGCTACATAGCTACTGCTGTCCCTGTTCCTCAGTGTATGGGGACCTGAACAGAGCAGTTAGAAAGGAAAAGGAAACACGCTGTGGCCGGAATCCTCCCCAACAAAGTCAGCATAAGCTTTAAAAATAAAACACAACAAAATGTGGTAAAAATGTTTATAACAAAACATTTGCCATTTTGATCATTTTTGAAGTGTACAATTCAGTGAAATTAAGTATACACTTGTTGTTGTTGTTAAGTGCCATCGAGTCAATTCTGACCCACAGCAACCCTGTATAGATTTCCAAGGAGCAGCTGGTGAGCTTGAACCACTGACCTTGAAGTTCAAACTAACGTTGTAGTCCAACTCATTAACCCACAGCGCCACACCAGGACTTACTCCTTTCTATCTTGTTATCCGACATTTTGCATTTATGACAACAGTAAAACATCTGCTATTTGACTTTTGCACATTACTGAGGTGTCAGGCATGGGGTGGCAATGACTGTGGAGCAGTCCCCTCCCTCGAGGAGAGTCCCTGGGTGGCTCATGCTCGACTCCCTCCTGCAAGTGGAGGCACCATGCCAGTCTGGCTTTTCTGTGGTGACAGCCTCCAGGCTGAGTGTAGGCAGCACGGAGCCAGCAGGTACCTGTTCTGGGTTCCCAGTTCCTATGAGGTCCTGCAGCTCAAAATTACTGTGAGGTCGGAATGGGAGACAGAAGGAGGTATTGAGGAGGGTGTTTAGAAGAAATGAGTGTGAGTTTAGTGACATCCCAAAGGGAGATGGGTCATTTGGGCCTGAAGCTTTAGCCTTGGTCTGGGCAGGCTCCCAGAGAGCCAGCATGGGTGGGAATGGAGACCTGGAGGTGGGATGCTCTGACCCAGCATACAGCTTTGTCTCCTCCAAGCCTCCTTCTCTCCACAGAGGAATAATCCACACTGGACCAGTCATACTGATGAGCACAGCAGTTAATCTTAGCTGTTATGAGTTATATTTTCTAAATACACTTTTAAAATCTGACAAATGGATGGTCTAAAATTAGAAAAGACTCTTCCACTTTTGCATAAAGTTGATTTTCACATAATGACCCAGTCTTTGGAACATGCTGATAAGCCAGGAGTGGGTGTATTTACTGTGTTGGGCAATTGTCACCCAATTCATTTCCGGATATTTTTCATCTCACTAAACAGAAACTTAGTACCTCTCCATTTCCCTCACTCCACCCCCCATAACCACAAAAACATTTTTATCTTTATATACATGTGCCTACTTGTGCTGTAGGATAAGCACTAGACTGCAAGTGGCAGTTCAAACCCACCAGCCACTCCTCAGAAACCCCATACTAAGAATAAGAACAGATTTAACTACAATTAGCAACAACAACAATACCACTCTCTCTGTATTTTGCATACATGTAGTCATAACTGTATTTGTCCTTTTCTGCCCAACTTCTTTGACTCAGCATAATGGTTATCAAGGGTCATCTATGTTGTAGCATGTGTTAGCACTTCGTTTCTGTTTATGGCTGAGACTATGCCACTGTATGGATATACCTCTTCTTGTTTATCCACTTATCTGCTGATGGGCACTTGTTTCTGCCTTTTGGTTACTGTGTATAATGCTTTCAGGTCTTTTTGGTGTTTACCTAAGAGTAGGATTGCTGGGTCATACAAAATAAGCTTCCTTGTTGTTGTTGAGAAGATACACAGCAAAGCATACACCAACACTATAGTTTCTACGAAAGCAATTCAGTGACACTGATTACATTCTTCAAGTTGTGTAGCCATTTTCCTTCTCCTTTTCTGAGCTGTTCTTCCTTCGTTAGCGTAAACACACTGCCCCCTAAGGTTCCTATCTAATCTTTTGAATTGTTGTCAATTCCGTACAGATGGATCTTAAAAGAGCACAGTGCTCAATCAGACATTCTTTACTAGTTAAGCTAAACTCTTGTTTGGTTTCAAGAAGACTTCAGGGGATATTTTTGGCTCAAGGTTTAAAGGTAAGCTGAGGACAACAGTTCTACGGGTCCATCCCAGCATAAGCTTTTGGCAACCCCTCTGCTATACTAAGTAGCACTCCCCATTTCAGCCCCCTGGTGGTACCTGCAGGATTCTTCCTCTATAGCCAGCCTCCATCATGAGGGGTTGTTGTTGTTAAGTGTCATTGAGCCAATTTCAACTCATGTACAGAATTTCCAAGGAGCGGATGGTGGATTTGAAACATCGACCTTGCAGTTAGCAGCTCAGTGCAGATCCTATAGACTCCACCTTAATCATGGCCAATCCAAAAGACTAGTCATTTGAATTCTGTTTGCTGAAGGATTTAGTACTGATTTGTAAGGCTGTATGTTCTGATTCTTGGTGTGTTCTGTTCCAACAGGATTATTCTCAACTGGTGCATGGACAAAATGCAAAGAGGATAACGTTGCTTTTCTTCTGTAAGCTTGCAGGAGCTTGAACAGCTTAGCAGAGCTGGGGAAAACAAGTCTGACTTCTGTGCAGCCTCAAAGTGTTGAAAACAAAGTCTTAGTATTGTAAACCAATGTTCTTTCTCAAGAGCTTTGGACAGTCTCTGTTAAAGAAAACATTAAGGCTTCCATTAACTATGTTATATCAGGGAGTCCTGGTGTGGTGCTCTGGGCTAATGTACTGCACTGCAAAGTCATTTAAACCACAAGGTCAGTGGTTCAAGCTCACCAGTCACTCCTTGGAAACCCTATACAGGGTCACTATGAGCCAGAACCGACTTGACAGCACTAGTTGGGACATCTGTGATGAGAATTTTCTTCTGTCTCATGCGGGCAGCTGCTGATAAATATCATACCAGAGACTTCTTACCTCTTTGTGGTACAATCCTGGCTTTCAAGGGGGCTGGCTATATGAAAAGAGATGCAAAATCACCTGATGGCATGTGAGGTATGAGGTTACAGAATTCCTGAACTTGGTTCTTCTCTAAGGCAGGCTTTGTACTGGTGGAATCTGCACTCTGCACCTTTGATTTTTGATTTTTTATAGACTTGCTTATATCACTTGCTTAGAGTTCAGTGGAAAACAATGAATCATTAATATCATTCAGTAGTTTATCTTCAATTAATTTTTTATCTCTTCTATAAAATCATCCTTATTGTATGGTCTTAGGCACAAGATGTTTTCCTGTAACATAGAGCTATGTTCTTAACTAAAAGAAAAAAATAGCAAACTCCCAGATAAGATCTAATATACATAATGTCCCCCTTGTAACCAATTCAGTTACTTATAATAGAAAGAAATTCTACTGTTCAAACTAGTATTATTAAGTGTGAATATACTTCAGTAAGATTCCTATGGTGGTGTCATAGGATAAGCACTGGATTGCTAACCACAAAGGTGGTGGTTCAAACCTACCAGTCACTCCTTGGAAACCTGTTATAGGCTTGATGTAAGTTGGAACTGACTGAAAAGCACTTAACAACAACAACTTTTCAATTGTCTCATTTTGAGTACAAAAAACTGTAATGTTTGCCCTCCAGAGTACGTCCTCTATGAAACTTATCACTGAAAAAGGTGTATAAGTGATCCTTTCAAAAATAGGATCAAATAAATACTGTACATGAAGAATTCAATTGAATACTATATATATTTTTATTGCTTGGTCAAATATTTAGACTAATAACACATTTAGAAACATTCTTTCCAAAGATACATTTTTCAATAAGGTAATTTCATAGTTTCTGGTATCACTCGATGCACACACAAAATATTTAAAAACATTTAAAATTATGGTATAGAATTTCTTCAGCATAGTCTGCTGAGACTATCCTAATATTCTTCTTCTTCTTTTTTTTAAAAGTTTTTATTGTGAATTGAGTGATAGTTTACATGGGAGAACATGGGCTTTGCACTTATTCTATTGTCTTTTGTTTCATTGTAATGATTACAATCTTCTCTATGCATCATCGTTAAAAAGTATTTTCTTCTACTCCCTGGTTTTTGTTTGTTTGTTTGTTTTGATGTACACAAAAACACTCAAGAATATATAATCATTTAAACTACACCTTTGATTTTGTGACTCAAGTCATGATATCTGAAAAGTGCCCAGTCAGGTAGCAACTAAACTGCTGCTGGTCAGTTATGTGCTTACGCACTATGAATGAAAGCCAGTTGCCACCAAGCTGACTCTGACCTATGTCAACCCCGTGTGCGTCAGAGCAGAACTGTGCTCTGCAGAGTTTTCAGTGGCTGATATTTCAGAAGTAGATCATCAGGCCTTTCTTCTGAGGTGCCTTTGGATGCACTCGAACTGCCAACCTTTTGATTAGCCACTGAGTAGTTAAATGTTTGCACCAACACAACCAGTACTATTCAAAGCTGATCTGATTTCAGAGACAGGCAGAAATGAGGCCCTCAAACTAGGGTTTCTTCTAGGTCAGGGATTCCCAACTTGGAGGTCCGTAAATAAGGACAGTGGGGGTGGGAAAATCATGACTTTATTTTCACCAACCTCAAACTGAAACTTAACATCTCCTTATATCACAAATGCATCACTTGTTTTCTTTAAATTCCCGTGTATTTTATGCACTTACAAAACAATATTCCAAAACTGAAGCCCTGTTTCAATCCATGAGAAGAAATGTTATGGATTGAACTGTGTCTCCCCAAAATATGTGTTGTCAATCCTAATCCCTGGTGTGGCACTGTTGATAAAGCACTGGATAAGCTAATCACAAGATTGGTGGTTTAAACCCACCAATTGTTCCTTAGAAACTCTATCCAGGATTGCTATGAGTTGAGACCAACTCGATAGCACTTAACAACAACAACAACATTCCTGTAGTTATGGAGCCCTGGTGGTGGTGTGGGTTAGGTAGTGGGCTGCTAATCAAAAGGTCAGTGATAACTACCAGCCATACCTCAGGAGACAGTCTGCTTCTGCAAAGCCTTAGCATCTCAGAAACCTCATTACCTGTTCACTATGGCAGTGGGTTTGGTTTGTTATCCCTGTGGTTATAATCCCATTTGGGCCTGGGTTTTTTTGTTATGTTGATGAAACAGTATTAGTGTTGTTGTTGTTATGTGCTGTTGAGTCCGTTCTGACCCAGAGCGACCCTGTATAGAGTTTTCGAGGAGCAGCTGATGAGCTTGAACCGTCAACCTTGCAGTTCAATCAGTTTTGCAGTGTGGCGCATTAACCCACAGTGCCACACCAGTATTAGTGTAGTCTATGCCTTTTGAGATATAAAAGAAGTGGATCAAGAAGCAAGCAGCAAGAAAGCAGAGACGGGGAAGATAGGTACCACGCCACATGAAGATCACTATGGAACCGAGGAATAGAAGCTGAAGAGACATGGACCTTCCCCAGAGCCAACACACAGGGAAAACCTTCCCCTAGAGCCGGTGCCCTAATTCAGACTTCTATTCTCCTAAACAGTGAGGAAATAAATGTCTGCTAAAGGCAGCCAGTTGTGGCATTTCTGTTAGTTAGCACTAGAGAACTAAGACAAAGGACAAAGTTGGTTCAGCAAGAGGTGATGCTGGGCCGGACATGTGAAACAATGCTGCCACATGTCATCCAAGAAACCCTCCAATCCCAGCTGGAGACAGGTGCTCCACTCAGAGGATTGTGTGACAGCCCCTCACCAGGCCAATGACATCATTCATGAAAGTGGATCCCTGTAAAGACTCATGGGATAGTGAAAAGTGCTGCTTTGAAAATTCATGCCCGCCATCAACCACACTGGTGTTAGATGACCCAGGAGGAGTGAAAGCCTTTCGTGTCAGATACTAGGGCCCCAGAGACAGGCCCTAAGAAGCCACACTTCCGTTCACAGCTCTTTATTTTGCCTCCTTGAAGAGAGAAGAAAAATTTTTACAATAAAAAGTCCTAAGGAAGCAGAGGGACGGACACTCCACTCTGACACCAGCGTCGTCATTTTAACCTCAGGGTCTGTTCAGCTTTCAGAAATAAAGTTAGACGAGGCTGAGCGCCTAGGAGGACAAGTCATTTAGGACAGCTGCTAACCAATAGGTGGGTGGTTCAAATCCATCCTGTGGCTCTGTGGGTGAAAGGCCTAGAGATCTGCTTCCATAAAGATTATGGCCAAGAAAACCCTGTGGAGCAGTGCTACTCCGTAAAATACGGAGTTGTCAAGTGTAGGGACTAACTCAACAGCAACTAACAGCTTATGCACTAGAGAATCTGGAAGTGCACTGATCTGGCAAGAGTCAGGGCAGTGTGACTCATTCCTTCATTCAGTGAATTATTCAACAAGCACTTCTCGGCTACTTGTGCCACGCAAGACAGTCTGGAGCACAAAAAGTACACGGTTTGATCAGTGACGGTCTCTGAAGAGTTTAACATTTTGTTTGTTGTTGTTGCTAAGTGTCATCAAGTCAGTTCAGACTCATCGTGACCCTGTATGCATTTTCTGAGGAGTGGGGCTGGTGACTTTGAACCACCGACCTTGTGGTTAACAACCCAGTGCTTATCCTACAGTGGCTACCCCTGTTTAGTGAGATGAGAAATATCTTGGATTCACAAGTATGTGAGCAAGCATGATATAAGGTACTGGATGAAAGCCTGAAATAGCCCTGGTGCCAGCGACTCAGAAAGGCACATGATCTCAGGCCCAATGAAAGCCCTGTGCAAAAATACAGCCAACTATGTCACCTGAGAGTCACGAAGCAAACTCCACTGATGGCTTCCTAAAATGCAAGGAAGGCAAGCAGTAACATTTATACCTGTAAGGAATAGAATAAAGAGCATTCGCCTCGTTCTACGCACGCACCAAGAACTCTGATCATGCTAAATGTGGCTCAGCACCTGAAGGGGTAAAAACATACCTCTGTATACTCTTTATAGCTCCTATTGATCTCACAGAGACTCTCCCGAGCGGCTTTGCTGGCAGGGGACGTTGCAAAGGCTTGCTTCATTTTGCTGGCACCGTCTTGGAGGCGTCTTTGGATACAATAAGCTTCATAGAGTTCATCTACCTGTCAGAATCAAAACAGGAAACACTAGGGATATAAATATTTGTCAGGCTTGAAAGAAGTTACATAAGACCATTGTTAAGTGCTTACAGTACTTGATGCTTCTGATCTGAACAAGGAGAATCATGTAGAAGTGTTATCTTTTTAGACTGAGATCAATCATTTCTGCATTAGTCACCATATGTTGTGGTTGTTAAGTGCTGTCAAGTCTGTTCTGACTCCTAGCGACCTTGTATAGGGTTTCCAAGGAGCGGCTGGTGAGTTTGAACTGCCTACCTTGTGGTTCAAACTGACTTTGGTGCCCAGTGCTTTATCCCATAGGATTCCAGCCACCATGATAGCCACCTTTTATTTCTAAAAAGCTTCAACTTTAATCAAATCTTTCTTTTCAAATTGTTATTGAGTGCCATTAAGTCGGTTCCAACTCATAATGACCCTGTATGAGGTTTCCAAGGAGTGACTGGTGGGTTTGAACTGCTGACCTTGTTGTTAGCGGTCCAGTGCTTATCCTACAGCGCCACACCAGGACGCCTCTTTTCAAATTATAGAAAATGAAAATGAACTTATCATTAGTGGACTGTGAGAGACAAATAATGGGTAATGAAGACGAGCCTTCTATATATGGAACAAATCCTGAAAGAGTTTGTAGTTTCACACCAAGGTGAAAACTTTGTAACATACTAGGCGATGATCACTGTATTTTAAAAGTATTGCCACAAGGTGATATTCACACATCCAGATTCAGGATTTTTTTTAAAGAAATAACTTGATGCCATTTATAAAAAGCAATTTTTTGTTAAAATCTTGGTTCAATAACAAAGAAGGGAAATGAGATTATTAACTATTTTTAAAGTTATAAAACAATTCTTAAAGTTAGAGTCCTGGTGTGGCACTGTGGGATAAAGCACTGGACCAAAAGTTCCGTTTGAACTACAAGGTTGGCTGTTCAAACTCACCAGTCATTCTTTGGACATCCTATATAGGGTTGCTATGAGTAGGAACTGACTCGATGGCACTTAACAATAACAAAGTTAAAGTGAAGCACAATTGTCAAAACTCAACAAACTGAGATCTCTTAAGAAACGAGATTTTTTCCCCTTATTTTTCTATACCCCTTTGCCCCTGTTAGTGCTACTATAAACACATCTCCAGCATCTACAAGTATGCTTGTAGAAAGATCATCTGCCCAACCTACAAGAGGAGGCTTCAAAATATTCATGGAAAAATTCCATAAAAAGATAATGGATTTTTTCCCATGAACTTTTTATTTTCTTTTTAAAAAAAGTTTTTATTGTGAATTGAGTGATAGTTTACATGAAAGAACATCAGTTTTACACTCGTTTCATTGCAATGATTATAATCTCCGTGCATCATCATTCAACAGTATTTGTTCCTAGACCCTCTGTTTTGTTTTTTATTTTTGGGGTGGGGGGATGTACACAAAAACACTCAGGAATATATAATCATTTAAACAATCAAAGGGCACATTCTGCAAACCTGCCTTCTAGCCACTAGCACTCAGCCTTTCTCTTTCCATGAGTCTAGAGTCCTCAGCTGCTCTCTCTCTCCATGTCTTCATCTCTGCCTTCATCTCTGGTGTTTCTGCTTCTCTGGATAGGGTTCCACATTCCACTCCTGCTCTTATTCCTTGATGGTCCTAGGGTCATCTGTTTCTGGACTGTATGATTAACTACTCCCCCTTTTTGTTACAAAACTTCTACCTTTATAGACGTGACAGTCACAATTATTCATGATAACAATTATTCACTATTGCAATTATAAGAATTTTATCCCCATCTCCTTTCACCAGACTTCCATGAACTTTTTAAAGCCTCTGGACATATATGGTCATGAGTGTAGTCCCTTGTGCCTACTCATACCTATCCATCTTGCCATTTGTTTGTAAATTACACCAGAATTTTAAAAACTAAATGGAAGCTGATCTAAAGTTATTTCCAATGATGTTTATCTCTGTGGCTTTGTTTTTGTCTTCAGTTATAAACACAGGAAGCTGACTGTAATCAATTATAGAAATTTTTAGGCAGATAACAAAGGAGGATTAGCAGAAGCAAACACAACCTATTATATTATGTCTAGGTCGGCAGTTACCTACCTGGGACCACCTGAGTTTTTGTTACATACTTGGTTCCCTCAAAAAGGAGGCTTTCACTGCAAATCCCGAAGATGGTGATGAATATACAGGATTTCAGAGTTTAAGCTGCTTTTTTGGCTCTGAAGGCAAACTTTTGACTAGTCTCTAAAATAGCATTACTACTGCCTGTTGGTAGCTGCTGTAAGTTGGGTCCTGACTCACAGCAACCCTATGTGCTACAGTGTAGAACGGCTTCATAGTGTTTTCTTGGTTGTAATCTGTACAGAAGTAGTTTGCCAGGCCTTTCTTCTGCTGAGCCAGGGGGTGGGTTCAAACTGCCAACTAATGGGTTAAAAGCAGATGGCAAGTTGCTTGTGCCACTCAAGTTCCTACTGTTTGTATCCAAAACCAAAAATAAAGCAACTGCCATGGAGTTGATTCCGATGCACAGCAACCCTATATAGGTGGAACAGATTCTAAGGATCATTTAGATGCAGTAGGTACCCTTCCTCACTCCCATTTTACAGAAGAGAAAGCCAAGGTCCACAGAGATTATATGGCCCAGAGGGTATGTGGAAGGAGCCCTGGTGGCACTGTGGATTAGGTGTTAGACTGTTAACTGAAAGGTCAGCGGTTCGAACCCACCAGCTGCTCCTGTAAAGACTGCATACTCTTGGAAACCCTTTATAGGGTTACTATTAGTCAGAATTGATTTCATGGCAGTGGGTTTGGTTTTGGGGTTGGATTATGTGGCAGAGCTAAGACTAGAGCCCTCTGTAAAACCACCCTGTCTCCCACTTGGCAGCAAGGCTGATGAGTGTGAATGGGAACAGTGTGATGTGAACAGGTATGGCTAATGGTGTCCTCAAGAGGAAATTTTGTCTAGGTTGCACCCGTAACTTCTGAGAGTGTCCAAATAAGGACACTCCATACAAGGCCAGTTGGACTTTGTGTGAACTGTGTACGATGAAAATATTGCTACTAAAGTTCTAGTTCATACATTCATAGATTTGTTCCAAACCTGTCTGTGTGACCAATGGATGCCTGTAGACAAGTTCTTTCAATAATACATGTGTGTTAGTCTCATTAGGGTGCCTTCAAAAAAAAGGTCTAGTCAAAACAGTGACTTCTAAAGGAATATTTCCTGAGACAGTTAATTTCAAAGCAGAGAGGTCAGAGATGGTGATTGTGTCTTGGGGTTGCAAAAAGGTAATCTTGATAGATTTTCTCAAAGGACACAGAATGATCATGAGGGCTTATTAGGAAGAGGTTCTAAGAAAACCGAAAACTGCATTAGTGAGAAAAAGGCTAGCAGGAAAGTTTAGTGGAGGAATTTTTCTTCCTTGACAATGTGCTTGCTCATTCTTTGACGGTAGCCAGAAGCATTCTTGGAGAATTTCATTGGGAAATCTTTCCTCATTCACCCTACAGTCCTGACCTTGCCCCCTTTAGACTTCTTTCTGTTCCTAGAAGTCAAAGAATGTTTAAAAAGAGCATGATTTGAGCTCCTCAAGGATGCCAAAACTGCCGTTTTGATGTGGCGTAAATCAAAGAGTGCAGAATACTCCAGGGATGAGTTTCCACTGCTGTTAAGTGGATTCATCTCATAGCAACCCTGTAAAACAGAGTAGAAGTGCTTCATAGGGCTTCCAGGGCTATAAATCTTTATGGAAACAGGCAGCCTCATCTTTCTTTGACCTGCTGATCTGTGGTTAGCTTATCAAACAGCATCACATCAGAACGCCAATAACATTGCAGCTTATAAAATTAACATATTGGGGATGTGTTGGTTAGAGGCATCTTACTCACTGCCATTGACTCATGTTGTTGTTGTTAAGTGCCGTCAGATTGGTTCTAACCCACGGTGACCCTGTATAGGGTTTCTGAGGAGTGGCTGGTGAGCTTGAATTGCCAACCTAGCAGTTCAAACTGATTTTGCAGTCCAGCGCATTAACCCACAGTGCCATGCCAGGACTCTCAGCCTGGTGACTCATAGTCACGCTGTATTACAGTTTTGAGGCTGTGGCTCTTAATGGGAACAGATAGCTTCATTTCTCTCCTGTGGAGAGACTGGTAGGTTTGAACTGCCCAATACTCAGCCCAGGAAAGGGTTGTTGTTGTTAAGTGCCATCAAGTCGTTTCTGACCCATAGCGACCCTGTATAAGGTTTCCGAGGAGCGGCTGGTGAGCTTGAACCACCTACCTTGCAGTTCAAACGGCTTTGCAGTCTGGCGCATTAGCCCACAGCACCACAGAGATGGAAATACCACCTTCAGAAGTGCATAGCCCTAGATGGCGAGTATGTTGAGAAACAACAGCTTCACATTTTGATACTTTTGTTTAAATTTTGTAGCCATCCTTTTTGACTCACCCTTGTATTTAGAAGGTTCAGAGCTATTCTCCAAATTGGTGCCTGTCTAAGGGAATAATTTGGCTAGAAAGTCAACTGCAAACTGTGCATATGAGGAAGAACAGAAGAAACCAAGAACTTTAGAAAGATTTAGGTTGGCGTGTGACAGCTGATTTTCAGTACTTTAAAGGCCTTCGTGAGGAAGTATGTTGTTGTTGTTAAGTACCATTGAGTTAGTTCCGACACATAATGACTCTGTAGGATTTCCAAGGAGTGGCTGGTGATTTGAACCATCAACCTTGTGGTTAGCAGCCCAGTGCTTATCCTACAGCACTGTGGTACTATACCGTATGAAGTATCAGAGTGTAAACTTGTAACATATGACATGTTTGTCGGGTCAGTTTGAGTCAATCTTATCTCTAGCCACACTACCTTGAGCTGTAAACCTATGTCAAGCACAGTACAAGCTACAGAACAAGCATTTAATGGATGTTTGCTGAACTGAAATATAGTCAAAATGGCATTAGATGATCAAGTTTTTGTTTTTATTATTCCTTTATCTTTTTTGCCTGTGGGAGGTCTTAATTGCTTAGCTATTTAGGAGTTAATTAAATAGGGAATTCTCCATGGGCTAGATGCTCAGCTCAGGCCAAAGGTGTATTGATCAGTCACTCCGAGCTAAAACACAGAGACAAAGACAAAACAATAGGAATGCCATTTACCTTACTAATGTGAAACTCCAGGCGTCTCATGTATCTTTCGATCGTTTTCATTTGCTGGAATTAAAAGAAGACGTTTGAAAAAGTACTGAAGTACAGCCATTTACAGTTTAATTATGCTAGGCTTCTGAAGTATGCCTTACATACCTGAAAATGCGAACTATGTCTCCATGCCTCCTAGTTTTGCTGCTATTTTAGAGCTTCTCTAATGTAACAACTTGGAAAGTGTTTTTTTTGTTTTTTTTTTTTAAGTACTGAATACATAGTCTCAGAGATGAACTTGAGTGGATTACCAGAATCCTTGTCTTTAACACCAAAGGAGACTGATTAATCAAGTAGAATTCTGGCAGGACAGTATAATAGAGTTTACTTAAATGCTTCCTAATAGCATATTTAATCGGTTCTAAGTGGGAATCCAACCCCTGTGCTTTTTTTTTTTCAGTCTCTGAAACTGGGATGTATTTCAATATCGCTACTGGCCAGGAGGCAGATAGCTTGTCTAAGCACGTGCAAAGATAATCAGTTGTTCATGTGTCATCTTTTCATTTGAGTCACACATATTGTTGCTATTGCATGCATAAAATTCAATTGCCCATTAAAATGTCATCTAAAGATTATACAATGATTCAGCAATAAAGTAAAGTAATTTTGTACATAGACAGACACGGAAACAGAGCAGCATCATATATGACAATAATGTAGAAGAATGCACATCTAGATGGGCTGCAAAGATTTACATCAATAAGTTTAAAATACAAATTTTAAGTGAAAAAGAAAGAACAGTGTCAGAATTGATTGGAATTTTTTTTCCCCTACTTGCACATAAAATAAATTAAAGATGTCACAGATTTGATTAAATGTAGTAGCTAATCCTTAGAAAACAACAGATAAGAGTCTCCAAACTTATCAAGACACTGACAAATCCTACAACCAGATGGCATTTTTATGGATGTGGCCTTAAGGATTTTATTGGATCTGTAGATGACAGTAGTATTTATCAGTCTTATTCAACAAAAGCCTGGAATTTTTTCCAGAAAAAGAAAATTCATCAGTTTTCTAAAATCTTATTGTCCCTAGAGGGTTCTTCCTTGACTACTATTTAAGGATACAGGGTTTACTTATTTTAGCAGCACCCCAACACAGAATGAAAACTTACCTTGTCTAGGTCGTACAACACACCCTAAAATAAAGAAAGAGAAATCTGGATTAAAACATATTTTCCCTCAAATCATCACTGATGTTACTAAAGAGATTTGGCCTGTGTTTCCGCATTATCTGTGGTCAGCCCCACAATGGAAAGCTTGGCTGAATTCCTTAACATCTACTTTAAAAGAGTACATTTCTGGATTACTTAAAAATTTATATGAAAAAAATTTTTTTAAGATAAGCACATTCTAATCGACTGTATACTCCAAGAAGATTTTTTAGCATGAAAAACATTTTTTCATGTCACAGCGAACAATTTAATAAATACGCATACTGACACACCAAACAACAAATGATGCTTTCCTTAGGTGCTATTTATTTTAGAAAATAAAAGGAAACTAGGTGCGTAGATCAGCTCACGGGGCTGGTGTTTGCCTCAAACCATGTAACTTGTCCACAGAAAGTAATTGTTAGGTACCACATGACTCACCTCATATGGAAGGCCCTCTCATACATTCTCAGAACACATTCTCAGAATCACTGGAACACATTCTAAGAAGTATGATTGAGGTTTTTAGAAGGAATTATTCCTTTGAGTAAACTTCACAATCTTGCAGGGGTGGGGCATGGGATATTTTCTCTGTGTCTTGAATACATTTCTGGGTTATGTTGCTGTTGTTGTTAAGTGACATCTAGTTAGATTAGACTCAGCAACCCTGTATAGGGTTTCCAGGGAGTGGCTGGTGAGTGGGAACCACCAACCTTGCAGTTTGTAGTCCAGTGCTTATTCTACAGTGCCACAAGTACTTACGCAGTTTGTAGTCCAGTGCTTATTCTACAGTGCCACAAGTACTTATGCATGCCTTTTTGGGGGACAACCCTGGTTACGTTCAAGGAGACGCTCCTTATTCTCCGTCCTGTGAAGCCACTCCGAACTTGTGAGGCAGAATTAATCCCTTTTTTTTTTGTCATCCCAGAGGGGGTTGTTTATTTCTGTTTTCACTTTTCCCAAAGTTAGACTTGCGCTGAGGTTTCGCTCATCTCCATTAGTCTGAGAAAGGCATGGTGTCTTACTTATATTTATGTCTGCTAGTGACTAATGCCTTTAAAAAGATAATTTATCTTATTTTTTGGTTGTTGTTATACAGCAGAACATATGGCTTGTATCAAATACCAGTAAAAATATTTTAAAAGGCCAATATGTATTTATAATCCATGTTCCCAGAGTTCTTCCCAGGCCTCTGTGCCCATTGGGGCCTTAAATTTTTCACTTTTTTAAAAAAAATTCTCTTCTCTTGAAGAGCATATAATGTTCATAAAAAAAAATACCAAAAACAGTGTCACCATAAAATGGCGCAGTGATCTGTGTGTTAAAAAAGACCTTGCTTGCTAGTTTAAGCATGTTATAATTGGCATTTGACAGTTCTTGAGGGTGGTAATATAGTTTTCACAAATGGTTTTTACACTAGGTTCATTTTCCTTAGAGTTGGTTTGGGGGTAGAGATATTACTCACACTGAAAGCCGAAGACACCAAGGAGATGCTCTCGAGTAGAACTAGAACCAGAACTTCCATTGGGAGAATTTTTAGGAACCACTGCAGTCCCTGCCTGACGCTAAGCTTTAAGTGTTCAGCTGCTATCAAAAAGGTTGATGGTCTGAACCCACCAGCTGCTCCCTGGGAGAAGGATGTGGCAGCCTGCTTCTGTAACGATTTACAGGCTTGGAAACTCTGTAGAGCAGTTCTACTCTGCCCTTTAGGTTCAAGCAATGATAATGAGTTTGGTTTTTTTCCCATGGGTTGGGGGAATCTGGGTGGTGCAAAGAGTGAAGCACTGAGCTGCTAACTGAAAGGTTGGAAGTTCAAGTTTACCCACAGATGCTTTGGAAATAAGGCCCAGTGATCTACTTTTTGAAAAAGCAGCCCTTGAAAACGTTATGGAACTCAGTTCTACTCTGTACACATGGGGATCACTATGAGTCAGAGTTGACTTGATGGAGACTAGTTTGGTTTTCATTTTGATGGAACACCGGGGCCCAGCTTCCTGAAAACCTTTGTCATTTTTCATCCAGGAGGACCATGCGCTGCGGTAGAGAATGGTCAAAGGCATTCCAAAGCTCTGAAAGTCATCCCATAAAGAATGCCACAAAGATTTGGGGGCAGTGGCAGTATCATTAGAATATAAAGTGTTCGAGCCTAGTTTATTTAAAGAGGACAAAATACATTTTAGTGTGTTTTCTAACAAAGAAAATAACAACAGTGATTGTTTTATAGAACCCTGCTAGCACTGAGTTAGGCATTGAGCCGTTAACCACAAGGTGAGCAGATCAAACCCACCAGCCACTCTAAGGGAGAAAGATGAGGCTGTCTGCTCCCATAAAGATTTACATACAGTCTTGGAAACCCTATGTAGGGTCACTATGAGTTGGAATTCACTCAATGGCAGTGGGTTTTTTTCTTAATTTTTTTGTTTTTAATTGTATAACTGCACGGCCTTGGTAGGTGTAGACTGTTCTTGGGTGTTCTGATGCCTTTAAACATTAAGGTGCAATATTATTTAGATGAGCAAGGAGTCCTAGCATGGTGATGTGAGTTAATGAGCTGGACTGCAAAGATGGTTTGAACCACAGGTCAGCAGTTCAAGCTCACCAGCTGCTCTTCGGAAACTCTATATAGGGTTGCTATGATTCAGAACTGACAAGACGGCACTTAACAACAACAACAATTTAAAAGAGCATATACACTAGAAACACTTCTTCACTCAGGCACATCGTCACAAATTCCTTCAGATAGAGGGACTTTGCATCCTGAACAACACAATGTGTATCTGATTTAGCCAAGAATTCTTCCAGCTTCACATATTGGTTACCCCCAAGCCTCCTTTTCCTTCCTGGCATCACTGACATATCACCTTTTTTTTTTTTTTTTTAACAGACTGGAAATAAAGCAAATGCCCTGGGTTTCAAGTTCTGTACTACCAATATACTACTAGAACACCAACTTTTCATTTTCTTATAAAATGAAAGTGGGCACAGGAAGTATGGCAAATATGGTTTGTTCTTAGCTACTAACACACTGGTGGTTTGGATCCCCTCAGAAGTGATGTGGAAGAAACGTCTGGCAGTATGCTCCCATAAAGACTGTAGTAAAAAAAGACTCTATGGAGCAGTTCTACTCTGAAATACATGCCATCGACAGGAATCAGAAATGACTTGATGACTGTGAATTTTTTTAGGGAGTTCTTAATTTTTTTTTTTTCTTGATTATAATAGCTATCTGGAAAACATAGAAATTAAGAAAATTTAACATTTCTTCCTTCTAAAACACACATCAGGATGTAGATTGCACTTTACCCCTGGGATGTGCTTTTCTTAAATGTTCCTCCCCACCCCTATGAAAGAGAAGATAATTAGCTGGGAAAAAACACTGTGCTAACATCCTAATGACAAGATGGTACCTACCAGACGAGAGTTTCTTTTCATGTCTTTTAATTGAGTTGTCAACTTGTCCAGCTCCGTCTGGTGAACCTCCAGATATTCACTACAAAGATAAGACGAGACATAATTGTGAACTCTGTGGCCATCAAGTAGAGACTGGTGCTAACTGCTGAAAAGGGATGACGAATCTGAGCCTTGTTCTGTAGAAGGCAGGTGGGGCAGGGAGTTCTGTATTATCTCAACCTTTCAGTAGTGTGAAAGCTCTAGCAGTTGCATCTCATACTACCCAGATGGGCATAAAAGAGAGCTTCCTGTGAGGCTAAAAGTCCAGAAAAGAAAAACCACTGGGGAAAGAAGAAGCAATACATCTAGAGCCTCAGTCTGGGCTCACCGGATTCTACCTAGTAAAATCAGCACTTAAAGAGATGGGTCTATACTGTGGCTACAACAACGGCTCAAACAATTGTGCTCACGGTGCAGGACTGGGCAGTGTCTCAGTTTATTGTACACAGGACCTCTGTGAGTCAGAGCTGACTTGACAGCACTTAACAACAACAACAACAACAACAAATACAACACTGACTGTAGATATGTCCCCAGACCAGGGAAGCTTTATTCTGGATAAATATTCCCTATGACATGCTCAGGAAGGTTTTAGACTCTTCTTCACTTTAAACACGAGAGTGAAAAAAAATGGAATTGAAAGATAATGGAAGTGTTCCAGGGACTTTTAGAAGCCCTCTCCTATGCCTGCTCACCATTGTTTAAGTGAAATGCAATACTGAACAGAGTTAAATATAAACACATTAAAAAAAAAATGGGTCTCCTACAGCGTTATGGATATAACATGGAAGCTTGTTATATTTCAAGTTGTTGGAATCCAATAAGACTTCCCCTATCTTGGTATAAGAACAAAACAACTACTCAGAGACATGTTAAAATGATCTCTCTCTCTCTCTCTTTTTTTCTTGATCCCCTGTGGGTGGTTTCTAAAGGAAAGAGGTTTCAGTACATTAGCAGGCTGAATGGTCTTACTCAAGTCCATGTTTCAAGGCCCTGTAGACCTCGTCCATCCTTTTAGGTTGAGGTTCTTTGGGGGTGCTGTTGTTTTTGTGCCCTAAATTGTGCATTTTCTTGATTTTGGCCTGAGGCTTCTTGAGAGCAGAGGTATTTTCAATGAAGGAGTTACACCTACAGAAAGAAAAGACGAAATTGTCAGTAGAGGGCATCCAAAGAAATGCCTCTGAACCATCTTGTGCTCATGTTCCTTTCTTTTAGGGAAGATACTATTCCCTTGTATATTAACAGAACTGAGGCAGCTATTGTCTACTTAGTATCTTGGGTTTAGCTTTGTGAACTGCACAGTAGCTCTATCCAGAATCAATGTTGGCTTCAGGTGATGCCCTGAGGCAGGCAAGGACAAACACTTCCAAGGAGAAATAATGAACAGGTAGTAAGAGATAAGGAGCTCTGGTAGTATAGTGGTTACGAATCCGGCTGCGAACCTCAGGGTCAGCAATTTGAAACTACCAGCTGTTCCACGGGAGAAAGATGAAGCTTTCTGCTCCCATAAAGATTTACAGCCTCGGAAACCCTGTACAGGGTCGCTATGAGTCAGAACTGACTCCACAGCACATAACAACAACACTAAGAGATAGGAGTCCTGATGTGGCTCTGTGGGTTAATGCGCTGGACTGCAAAATTGGTTTGAATCACAAGGTTGCAGTTCAAGCTCATCAGCCGCTTCTTGGAAACCCTATACAGGGTCACTATGGGTTGGAACCAACTTGATGGCACTTCATAACAATAACAAGTAAGAGATAGGGAGAGCACAGTGACTCCATACGATAAGCTCTGGAGTAAAACCACAAGGCCAGTGGTTTCAGCCGGCCAGCCGCTCCACAGGAGTAAGATGAGGCTTTCTGATCCCTGGAAGATTCAAAGCCTTGGAAACCCTATATAGTGTGGCTATGAGTCAATCTTACAACAAGTAAGATTGGAGCATAGTTTTTACTCTGGTGCACATGGGGTCACCAGGCATCATAATACACTCTATGGTAACTAGTAGCTAGTAGCATTAACCTGAACAAGGGTAAGTACTAAAAGCAACAACAACAACAACAACAAATGTGTTCCAAAAACGAATAAAGGAGCTAGCTGACTCAAGATAAATCTGATTCGATGAGAGGACACGTCAGGGAAATCAGAAGACTAACTTTCCCAACTGTATGTCTGCATGTCATCTACTCCCAGGATTCAATCACTTCATACTGTATATATTTCCCCAAATCTGAATGCAAAGGATGATGTGCTTCATCTGAAGGCAGTTTCAGGGAGGGAAGTGGTAGGAAAAGATGTACACATATATGGCTTGTTGTTGTTGTTGTTAAGTGCCGTCGAGTCAGTTCCGACCCATAGCGACCCTGTACAGGGTTTCCGAGGGTGTAAATCTTTACGGGAGTAGAAAGCCTCATCTTTCTCCCGCGGAGCGGCTGGTAGTTTCGAACCGCTGACCTTAAGGTTCACAGCCCGATTCGTAACCACTACGCTACCAGAGGCTAGTTTATCCGAAATCCTCAGCACATCTTTGCAGGAGGAATTCCAAATAATAGAAAAGAAGCTGTTGATGTTGGGCACTGCCCAGTCTCTGCTGACTCGTCGCCACTCTACGTGACCGAGTGGAACTGCCCTGCAGGGTTTTCTTGGCTGGAATCTTTATGGGAGCACGACGTCGTCAGGTGTTTCTCCCTCAGAGCCACTGGGTGCGTTTGAACTGCAAAGCTTTTGGTTAGTATGTGAAAGCTTAATGGTTGCACTACCAGAGTTCCTTAGAAAAGAAACGTTAGCATTTAATTTCGGTACCTTATGGGTTTTTTCCTGTGAAAAAGAGATCAAAATATTTGTGTGTGTGTTTCAAGTTAGCGCACACACGGACCCTCTGCACAGCATCAGGCCTTTTGTCCTTCTCCATCTGTGTCCTAAGAGAACAGTCCCCCTACTTACCTGGATCGCCGCTCCTGAAGGCCACTGAAACCTGCGAAGGACTGGCTTCTAATGATCCCATTGGGCCCTCCAGGTGAGAAGGACTGAGTTCCTACCAACATGATTTCTGGGAGTCTGGCTGGTAGACCTGAAAGACAGTGGGAAGATTATGGTGAGTTAAAGACAGGTTTGGACAAAAAGCACACTAAGCTTGTCAACAGTAATAAAAGGGGTTTGAGTGACGTAGGTGAAATGAGTCACGAGGCCATTAGATACGGGTTGACATCTTTCCGATGACATGTCCCTTCTAAGCCCAAGGGCTCAGTTTCCAGGTGAATTAAAATACCCACCTTCCAAGACACAAATAAAGATAAATTACACAAAATTAGCAATCACTTCAGGTTTTCTTCAGATAATCTTTTTTTTTTTCTTTTCATTTTTTCAAAAAATCAAGGTTCATCCATGTCTTCAAAAGCATAAAAAACATTGGAATGTTTGCCTCCAGGCAACAACACCTCCCCAAACAAAAACAAATAGGCCGAGTCAAAGTTTCAAATAAAAACACAGTCAGGTCTTCAGGAAGAATGCTTCACTTAGCAGTCATAAGACTAGAAACACTAGGTTTCTTAAGTGATGCACTTATTTTAGCTTGATTTGGCTTTTCTCCCCACCCTTAAGTCTATTGTAGCGTAGTGGTTACGAATCGGGAGCTCTGGTATTTGTTGTTGTTGTTAAGTACCGTGGAGTCGGTTCCGACTCATAGTGACCCTGCACAGGGTTTCCGAGGCTGTAAATTTTTATGGGAGCAGAATGCCTCATCTTTCTCCCGCGGAACCGCTGGTAGTTTCGAACTGCTGACCTTGAGTTTAGCAGCCCGATTCGTAACCACTACGCTACCAGAGCTCCTTTGTAGAATCTATAAACTCCCTTGTGCTTAATACTTCTGGTAGCTTAGTGGTTATGAATTGGGCTGCAAACCTCAGGGTCAGCAGTTTGAAACTATCAGCTGTTCCGTGGGAGAGAGATGAGGCTGTCTGCTCCCGTAAAGATTTATAACCTCAGAAACCCTGTACAGGGTCGCTATGAGTCAGAACTGACTCCACGGCACATAACAACAACAAGTCTATCTTAAAAGATAAGATTGTGCCACTTATTGTGGCAGAGCAAAATAAGATTGGAGCGCTCACAAAAGAAGAGATAATCTAGGTGATGATAAGAACGCCAGTGAGGAGGAAGGAAGGCCAGAGGGACACACGGCAGAAAGCACACAGCCCTTCCTTGACTTGCTCTTCTGTCTTTCGTGAAGACTCACCACAACTGACCAAGATGCACTGTCCAAAGAACTTCTGCTGGACTGAAGCCCAAGATGCATTCACCTGAAGACCTGACCTAGAACTGTTAGGTAATTCTATCCCCTTTGGATAGGTGGAACGCACATACCATTGTTTTAGCAGGTAACCTCAGTCCAGGGAAGAGGCCGGGCCAGCAGGAGAAAGGCAACACAGCTATTGTCCAGACGGAAGACTTCCGAAGTGGTCAGAAACAAATTTGGTGTGTTTGGATAACAACAACAATGGCCCTTTAAAGATCCAACAAGAAAGAAAGAAAAATCTAAAGAATAAAACAAACTCCTTAAAACCAAAAGCAGCAGCCGCAGCAGCAGAAGTTTCTTACTTCCAAGTTTAATGGAAAGACCAACTTCCCCAGGCCCTTCTCAAAGCCCTCTGGAGCAGCTCAGCCAAGGAGAGGTTTGAAACAGTTGACGAACTTAAGAGCTTTAATAATCAGTCATTCTAGTGATGTTGTTATTGTTAGCTGCTGTCAAGGCAGTTCGGATGCATTGTGACTCATGCACAACATGGTCCAGCACCATTCTTCCTATGTTTGAGCTCACTGTTGCAGTCACTGTCAATGCATCTCAGTGACAGGCAAAGAGAAAGATGATGGCATGTTGGTCAATGATTCAAAACGACCTGGTACAGTACACCAATACTTACTTCAGCACTTTTGCAATAGCCAAAGCATGAAAACAACCAGAAAGTCCATCGACAGAAGAATAGATATGCAAGATATGCACAGTACAATGGAATACTGTGCAACCACCAAGAGAAAGAAAGTTCTGATGCACGGATAAACCTTGAAAACATCACACTGCATAAAGTAAACCCAACCAGACCCATCACTGTCGAGTCAATTTCGACTCATGGAGACCCTAGAACTGTCCCATGGAGTTTCCAAGGCTGTGATCTTTACAGAGGGAAGCACGGTGGCTCTGAACGATAAGCACTGGACTGAGGAGCACAAGCTTTACGGTTTGAGCCCACCAGCCTCTCCACAAAGATGCACTAACTCGGAAATCCTACACAGGATTACTACGGGTCAGAACCGACTTGAAGGCACTTAACAACAAAAACAAAAATCTTCTCCCACATAGTGAATGGTGGGTTCGAACTGCTGATCTTTTAGTTAACTGCTAGGCATTTAAACAATGTGCCACCAGGGCTCCTTAATTGAGCGAAGAGACAAATACAGTATAATCTCACATAAGATAAGCAAATATATAGAAATGAAAGATTATATTAGTGGTTGTTGTTGTTGTCGAGTGCCATTGAGCCAGTTCTGACTCACAGTGACACTGTATAGGGTTTCCAAGGAGCAGCTGGTGGACTTGAACCGTCAACCTGGGGTTAGCAGTTCTGTGCTTATCCTACAGCTCCACACCAGGACTTCACATCAGTAGTTACCGGGGTGAGAGAGGAAGTTTTCGCAAAGGTGGCATTGAGTTTATGATAATGATGATGAATAATTACGACAATCATAGCAACAATGGTAACACAGCTTGAGTGGAATGAATATCACTGAGTTAGTTATACATGTAGAAATTGATGAACCGCCCTGTGTTTCGTTGAGTCTATTTTCACCACAACAAAAATAATCAATAGCAATAGACTGAAACTTTCTCCCTCTCAAAGCATTTTATAATCTGAGCTCTTAGGATCCAAGAGCAACTCTCTCCGATAGGGTCCTATGAATCAGAATTGATGGATGAGTTTGTTGTTGTTGCTGTCATTGTTGTTTTTAATAATTTACAAAATCCAACTTTAAAAAACTGTGTGACTCAGTCTTGAAAAAGTCCCTCTTTGCAAAATAAATTATTTATTATTTTTGTTGTGGTGAAAATCTACTCAACAAAGCAAATGCCAGTTTAACAATTTGGAGTCCTGGGGTGGTGCTGCAGGGTAATGCTCTGGACTGCAAGGTCAGATTGAGTCACAAGGTTGGAGGTTCAAACCCATCAGTTGCTCTTCGGAAACCCTGCACAGGGTTGCTATGAATTGGAACCAATTCAAAAGCACTTAACAACAACACTGCTATTTGGAGCCCTGGTGGTGCAGGGGTTAAGTGCTTAGCTGCCAAATACAAAATTAGTGGTTTGAACTTACCAGCTGCTGTGCAGGAGACAGACAGGACTGTCTGCTTCTGTAAAGATTTACAACCTTGGAAATCCTATAGGACAGCTCTACCGTGTCTGATAGGATCACTATCAGTCAGAATTGATTCGATGAATTTGTCATTGCTGTTGTTGTTTTCAATACTTTACAAAATCCAACTGCAAACTGTATGTGTCTTACTGAGTTATACATGAGAGAATAAAACATGTGAACTGAATTGCAAAATAACTTTGGATTCTCCCTTTTCCCCCATAATAGACAAGAATGGTTCTTGAGAACAAAATGAACAAAAGTTGGTCTTGGATCCTAAGAGCTCAGATTATAAAATGCTTTCGGAGGGAGAAAAGTTTCAGAAACCTTTTGTTGGATTTACACGTGGAGTGATGACCACAGGAAACCTAGGAACTGGGGTGAGCGGTTTTGTTGATATTCTGCTTTGCCTTTCTGGTCTCAGAAACGATCATTATCTCTCAAGAAAGAATTTGGACAAGAGCTGGTTTAGGCTGAGATCACTATCCTGCCATCAATTCCCTAAAGTCGGCCACACAACCTAGGAAGGGTCATAAAACTAGAGCTTGCCACACACTAAGTCAGGGTCTGGGAGAGATAAAAGGAGACTGGAACTGGGTAGGAGGTATTACAGGACAAAAAAATTACAAAACACCTCCCACTTCCCCGCACCCTAACCAGGCCAACCTGGAATCAAGATTAAATTCTAAAGTGAGGTGGCATTTCTTTGCTACTCTTCTAGTTTCCCTGAAGGAGCTCTGCTAGTGTAATGATTACAAATTGGGCTGCAAACCTTAAGGTCAGCAGTTCGAAACTACCAGCCGTTTCGTGGAAGAAAGATGAAGCTTTCTACTCCCGTCAAGGTTTACAGCCTTGGAAACCCTATACAGGGTCACTATGGGTCAGAACCGACTCGACAGCACTTAACAACAACAACAACTTCTAGTTTCCCCAGCCCTCCCATAACTCGTAACTCTCTGTGATCATCTTTTTGACCACCCCATTCTCAACTCTTGGAGCTCTACATCTTCAAGCCATTATCTGACTTCCTAGAGCCCTGCAGAACTGCTTTTCTCCCCACCTTCAAGCAAAACCATCCCTCAGGCTACACTACTCATTTCCAGGCACTAGGCCTCATCTTCCTCCCTTGGAGCGGCTGGTGAATTTGAACTGCCAGCCTTGCAGTTAGCAGTCCAGTGCCGCCAGGACTCCTTCCTAATAGACTATTTTGTTGTTATTAAGTGCCACTGAGTCAGTCCCGATGAATAGTGACTCTGTATAGGGTTTCCAAGGAGCAGCTGATGGGTTTGAACTACCGACCTTGTGGCTAGCAGTCCAGTGCCAATCCTACAGCGCCACATCAGAAGTAGTATGTTGTTGTTGTTATGGGAGGAGGTACAAGAACTGAACAGAAAATTTCAAAGGTCAGCTCGAGAAG